ACTTGCGTTGCTTCCATAATTTGGCAATTGTTAATAGTGCTGCAATAAACATAGGGGTGCATATATCTTTTCAAATTAGTCTTTTCATTTTCTCTGAGTAAATTTCCAGTAGTGGAATTACTGGATCATGTGGTAATTCTACTTTTAATTTTTTGAGGACCCTCCACTGTTTTACATAGTGGCTGTGCCAATTCTCATTCCACCAACAATGTACAAGAGTTACTTTTTCTCCACATCCTCACCAACACTTGTTATTTTTTGCCTTTTTTATTTCAGCCATTCGGACAGGTGTGAGGTGATATCTCATTGTGGTTTTGACTTGCATTTTCTTGATGATTAGTGATGTTGAGCATCTTTTCATGTGTCTGTTGGCCTTCTGTATGTCTTCTTTGGAAAGATGTTTATTCAGGTCCTGTGCCCATTTTTATTTGAATTATTTGTATTTTTTAATGTTGAATTGTACGAATTTATACACACACACACACACACACACACACACACACACACACGATATTAACCCCTTATCAGATATATAATTTCCGAGTATCTTCTCTGATTCAGTATGTTGCCTTGTCATTTTGTTGATGATTTCCCTTTCTGTGAAAAAGCTTTTTATGTTGGTGTAGTCCCAATGGTTTATTTTGGCTTTTGTTTCTCTTGCCTAAGAGGACATATCTAGAAAAGTATTTCTACAGACAATGTCAAAACTGACAATTCTTTATATTAAACTTTCCCTGTTCAAATTACTGTGATCTCTCTTTCTTGGCGGGACAGTTATCAGTATCACTAGAATTTCCATATCCGCTTTTTTTAAATGTCTGTTCAGTACAAAAAGCTTCTGATGTCTTTTTGTTCTGATTTATTTGCAAATGAGAGCATAGTGCAGCAGGTTGTCATGTCTTGAGTTCTCACAGGATGCTTATCCCTCATATCAGGCTCTTCCTAAGTATTTTCACCTTAATTAGGTGAAAGAAGGGACTGCCAACAAGGCCCCATTGACTAGGAGTCTTTGGATAGAAACCGGACAGGAAAGCACCTGGAACTATCTCAGGCTTCTTTCTGGTTCTGGTATAGGCTTTAAACCATCTATTCCATATATCTTGTTTCACCTGACAGGTTTTAGCCAAAGTGTTTTGTCTCTGTTGATTTTGGGGGGAATTAATTTTTGAGCTAGAGATTTTATATTTAGCCAAGGTATTCTTCACATATATAGGTTAAAAAATCATGGTAAGATATACAGTTCTAATTATAACCTTCTGGTGAAAAAAAAGAAAGAAAGAAAACTTTGCCACCTGTGCCAGTACAAAAAGAATGGAGAGGATAGGGGTGCCTGGCTGGCTCAGTTGGTGGAATGTGTGACTTTTGATCTCAGGGTTGTGGGCTTGAGCCCCACATTGGGGGAGAGATTACTTAAAAATAAAATCTTTAAATAAAAGAATGGAGAGGATAAGGAATTGGTAGTTAGCATTGGCATCACTTAAATATAGAATGAGGTTTAAATGATGGTAGTGTCTACGTTCATTTGTTCCAGACACGTTTAATGAGTGCCTGTGATGTCAGTTCTTCCAAATCAATCCATGAATCTAATGAAGTTCCACTTAAAATGCCAATAGAATTTTTCAAGTTTCGTTTAAATAGATCCATTAGAACAAATGTGAAAAATAGTTTAAAATTTTTGAAAAACAACTCACAAATGAAAAGTTGTTCTACAAGTTACTAGAATTTATTATGGTAGTGTACTAATTATGGCAACGTGATAGAGTACAAGAATAGACACATCAGTGGGACGAGTGGAGAGCCTGGAAACAGTGCACATAGGTCAGAGAGTAGTGTGGAAAGTAGTGACTTCAAGGAATGGTATGGGAAGAACTGGGATCCATCCAGGGTAGGGAGAGAGGGGATAACACGAAATAATGACTTCATACCATATAGAAACTGAACTCTGGATGACTAAAGGAACAACTGAAAGGTCCTAGAAGAAAACACAGAAGGTTGTTTTTGTAGAATTCTGGAAGAAAACATTCATGAACAAGATCCAAAGGCAGAAGTAATAAAATAAAGTAACAAACTAAAAGTAATAAAGTAATAAAAGTAATAAAATAAAAGTAATAAAATAAAAGATAGCAGTAAGCACAAAGTTACAATTGCTATATGACAACATATAGGTAACAAAGTCGAAAAAATAAAGACTGAGAGAACATTTGCCATATACAGGAGCAAAATACATATATGTAGAATACAAATAGCGTATAAATCAGTATAGAAAATATAAAATCACATGCAACATATATTTATTTTTTTAAAAGATTTTATTTATTTATTTGAGACAGAGAATGAGATAGAGAGCATGAGAGGGGGGAGGGTCAGAGGGAGAAGCAGACTCCCGGCCGAGCAGGGAGCCCGATGTGGGACTCGATCCCGGGACTCCAGGATCATGACCTGAGCCGAAGGCAGTCGCTTAACCAACTGAGCCACCCAGGCGCCCCGCAACATATATTTAAAAATAAATCACACACTAAGAAAAACAAATGACTAATAAATGTATTGCAAAGATTTTCAAAGTCACTAGGGAAATGCAAATTAAGGCAAGATGTCATTTTGCCCAATAGGCTTAAAACTATCAATGATTGAGAGTATCCAGTGTCAGCAAGAGTGAAAGACAATTCTGGAGGTGAATTTGGCCGCAACTATCAAAGCATAAATTTTACATACCCTTCAACAACATAATTCCACTGCTAGGAATTTATTTAATACCAAATGTACACAAGTGTATGAGATATTTATACCATGATGTTTATTGTTGCGTTAAATTTACTAGCTAAAACTGGAAAACTACACTTAATTGCACAACAGTGGCGAAACAAGTAAGTTATAATGGTGTGCTGGTCCTTGGTTGGCTTTTTCTTTGGATGCATTCCTCCCCTTCTTCCCTGTTCTGTATTCCCTCCCGGCCAGAGACTTCCTCTCCTAGGCTTTTCTTTTAAATGGCTTTGACTCACTTAGGCCAATGGGAGGTATTGCTGGGAGATTGGTTGGCTGTAAGAAGGGAGTAGCCATCATACTCTTTTCTCATCCTCTTACATTTATTATTGTTTTTGGAGTTTGTTCCATGGCCGATGATCTCCTTAGACCCATTGGGGTTCAGACCTTCCATGAGTGACCCAGTCCCTGAGCAGCGTTAACACACCCTCCTTTTTTTTTTTGTCCCTGTAGCTTAAAGATGCTAGTGACTTCCTATTGATGTTAATCCCTAGAGTTCTTCTTTCTTCTCATTGGATTTTTCACTTCTTTTATAATTTCTGTAACTAATTCTTTGTATTAATGGTCTGCTACTTTAAGTACTTAAAGTGATTTTGTATTTACCTCTTGGAATGTACACACATAACGCACACATACACCTCTGCGGCCAGTGGGGCGGGGGGAGGCTGTCTAACCACATGCCCAGTGGAGCAAAGTCCTGATAAGTTGATGACTCCACAATAACTCAGGTTGTGCCACTCTTCCAATGCTCACTTCCACAAATAAATGTCAGGTTTTTTTCAAGATGAAGCACCATACTTATTCCTAACCATGTAACATGCGTGTGTGAAAGTGTAGTACAGTTTTTATTAGGTCTTGATCTTCTTTTTTTTTCCTTATGGATCATTACAAAGTTTTTGAGTATTGTACCCAAATCCCATTTTTCTCATAAGCCTCATAGTTTTTATTGCACAGCTTTGCAAACTATCCTGATTTTTAGCAGTTTGTATGTCCCATAACAGCAGAATTGACTATTCACACACCAAAATGTTAATAGTGTCTCTGGGTAGCAATTTATTTATTGTTTATCTATAGTTTCTATTTTTTTCCTAAAATAGTCATGTATTGATAATTTAATGAAATTTACACAAACATGTTTAAAAGATGGGTTGGTAGCCAAAGGGTGATCATAGCCATTCTAGGTGAAGAGTTGAGGCTGTTCAGGAAACTCCCTCATTCACTGGTGATGCAATCAATGAAGTGCCCTCTAATCTCCCTGAAAGGCATAATCAACTTAGGCTCCTCCTGCGAAACACAGATAACAGTCTTGCAGCAACATCTTGGCAGCTTCTTCAATCAGAGAGTCACCATAAGTGCTCAGAAGAATACGCATGTGATCAGTCAAGGTTCCATTAAACATGGTAGATCATGTAACAAGCCAAATGCCTCTAAATTGGTTTGCAAACATTCGAAGTTAACACCATACAAATCCAGTAGGCAATCAATATGATACCGTCAGTGCTTATTGACTTTGAAGCTTAGTCTTACTGAGATTAGAGCACCCTGTCCTTGCAGGAAATAGGACTCTGTGAGGAGAGGACGCACAGAACACAATGTGAATTTCAAAGGAAAAAAAAAGAATTTTCCTTTTGTGATCTGAGTCTTGAATTGCTGTCCACTTTTTCAGAGTGAACTTTCACCTGTTAGCACTTTTTTCTTCCCCTTTCTAAGGCTGTATCATGTTTTTGTTTTGTTTTTCTGTTTTTCTGTTTTTCTGTTTTTCTTTTTCTTTCTTTCTTTCTTTCTTTCTTTCTTTCTTTCTTTCTTTCTTTCTTTCTTTCTTTCTTTCTTTCTTTCTTTTTTCTTTCTTTCTTTTTTTCTTTCTTTCTTTCTTTCTTTCTTTCTTTCTTTCTTTCTCTCTCTCTCTCTCTCTTTCTTTCTTCTTTTCTTTTTGATGTTAAGTTACTCCACCTACAGTCAAACTCCAGTGTTTATCTTTGATTTGGTCATGATCCCTCCCCTTCCCCTCCCTCACGTGTCCTACACCCACAAAATTCTGAACTCTTTCTTGGTGCCTGTGTTTTCCTGTCTCTCTACACAGAATCCTCTGTTGGCTGTGTTCTCCGTGGAGCTTTGTTTCTAGCTGTTCTCTGACCAAGGACTTGTTCTGTGCAGCTCAGCTCTCATCCTCTTTGTTCAGCCTCTGGCTTCAACCACAGAATCACAAATATTCTCCAGCTGGGAATCAGACAAGGGCAGACATGAACCCAGAAGCCCAACAGGATGTTTCAGTTTTCCAGGGAATTCGCATGATATTTTATATGATGAAGCCCAGTGAAACGTCATTTGAAACCCTGGAAGAGGTGCCTGATTATGTAAAGCAGGTGAGACTATCTGGGAAAAGGCCACTGTTGCTTTTGTCTTAAGAAGTATGTTAAACACATCCTGGGGTTTTGTTCACTTTCGTTCTTCAAATTATTAAATTCTAATAAAAAATATTTCAGCTTTATAAAGGCATGGAGCAACATTAGAATTTCTACTTGAATTGAATTTCTGTACGATATCCATAACCAGTTTCTCCTATTAAATTCCTCTCCTTGGATATGTCACTACAGAATATGATAAAGCTTTACAAAGTTTTCCTAGACATAGTGGTGTTACAAATTTAGTTGTCAGAAGCTCAGTGTCAAATGGTTATATGACATCAGTAAACTATGTAACAATTTTGGTTTTAAAGGGCAAACCACCTCCCAGGAAACTATTTCCTCTTTAATTTGGTAGAGTAGTTCTGCAGAATGGATATAGAGCTGACTAAGTCCAACTCTGACTTCCTAAGTTTGAACTTGAACCAAGTTTTCTTTGAAATTCTGAAGTGTTCAGAGGCACTTTTTACTTCTGGTTCCTGGCTATGACTGGAAGTGGAAATATCCAGAATTAGAACTTGAATACCTAAGTTCCCCACCCTGTCAAAGTTGTTCCTATAACACTTACTAGTTCAGACCAGAAATAAGGGGAAAAAAATGACATCAGAGATGTCCCATGTTCTTAGGACTTCAGTTTAGAAAACTTTAGAACTCATGACCAGCTTCCAAGTGAGTGAAACCCCTAACTTTTTCAGGATTTGATATTATTCCTTTCCTAGTTTTTTAAGAAGAAAAATGTGATACTCACATCTTCATAAATCGTTATTTTTTGTATTTTAACACCAAACTTTGCTCAGTATTTGTCATCTGTAGCGGAGCCTAAAAACACTTATTATAACACAAAACTAAGTCTGAGTGAATAAAATTTGAATGATGTTTTAAATACACATTTTAAATGATCATATAAATGATCATATTCTCTGAAATACTTGGAAGAAAATGCTTTGTTCCTATAGGTTCAATTTTGTCATTCCTGCAGTTCTAATATGAATAACTAGAAATATGTGTATCCTAAGTGAAGACTTTTAAAGAGAATCTGTCTTAATCATGGAGATAACAGACATCTGATTATTGTACTTATTTTAAAAATGTATTTTTTTTTTTTTAGGTCTAACTCAAAACTCATCCCCCCTAAGCTTATTGTTTTCTTGGCAGAATTATCATGGTTACATCTATGGTTATATTTCATTTCCAAATTGGATGATAGATTTTGAGCACCTGTTTAGTATATGTCTGAAATAATCAGATTTCTTTGCCTGTTGGGAGGAAGTGATCCTCTAGGATAAGTGTATACCTTCTCCTGCTATGAGATGTCACTCTGGGCCTCCCACTTCTGGAATGACTAATCAGGAAATGTGGAAGAATTTCATACCAAGCACAATAGCATCTTTTTTGTGCCATTTCCTTTCCAGGCAACCCCATTTTTCATTTCCTTAATGCTTCTTGAACTGGTCGTTAGCTGGATTCTCAAAGGGAAACCACCAGGTCGTTTGGATGATGTATTGACATCGGTATCAGCCGGCATTTTTTCTCGGCTTCCAAGGTGAGTTAGTTGTTAGCCACACTGAGTGAATAAACTGAAATTCTCTAAATAAGATGGAAAAGGAACCCACTGTATGGGAAGTTAGTCTGTTTTCACATATCTACATATACCCCCAAAGTATCCAGTTACTGTCATTATTTAAATTTTTGATATTTCATTCACCATGGATTTGTTTTTGTATTCATTGTTAAAGATACTGCTCTAAATATTATTTATCTTGATTACTGAGTTTATTGCTGCCCCCTTAAATTTTGTGCCCAAGGTAACTGTTTCACTTGCCTTACCCTAGTCCCAACCCTGAGTTATGGTCTAGTTATCTACTGGGAAATTAATTTTGCCTCTGCCAGATTCACATGTTATGCAATCTAGGGTACAGACACTCTCTAGTAAAGATCACAGAAAGCTTTGAATTACTACATGGTCTCCCAGGTGGTCTCTAGTTCTGTTTCTAGTGCTACTTCATTTTCAGCCAAACATTTCCATAATGTGGATCTGGTGAAAATTCTTCACAGGTTCCATATTGCCTAAAGCATAATGTTTGAATTTTTTTCCTGATCTGTAGAAAACTTTGTCTCTCTACCCTTACTTTTTCTCCCTTCATTCTCCTTCTGCCTTTGCAATATTTGTTCCTTCATACTCTACTGCTTGCCATTGCCCAGATGTCCCACATGCTTCCCTCTGCTTGGAAGGCCATTCATGTGGCTAACCTGATTCACTTCTTAAGTCTAAGCATAGACTTCTCTTGAAGAGTCACACTGTGCAGCAAATCTTCTCTGTCCTCCAACACTGCTTTAGGCATCACTTCACTATGGTCCCATGGAATCTTGTGCCTACCCCAGTTACAGAATTGTCACGTGGCATTACGCTTACCTGTTTTTTTCCCCAGTCCTTCCTGATAAATTTCATGCAACTTGAGAGCAAGAGGGATCTTTCTTCATAATTTTAACTCCTATGCCTGGAATGATGTCTGGTATATCCTAGATTTTTTTTAAATTTAATATTTTTATAGTGTTATATTGATGATAAGATGAGATGATGAAGGAACAAAACAGTAAACAATCAATAACCTACTACTTTTTAGAAAGGGTAAATTATAATGTAGGCAGAGCAGAAAGCAATGCATGGGAGGCTCTTCAGTACATGAGACTTTATACCAAAGTGACAGAGGGTGAGGGAAGATTCCCTTAGAACTCTGTGCTCTGCATTGCTGAACTCTGTGCTCTGCATTGCTGAA